GGGGGGGGGGGGGGGGGGGGGAGGAGGAGGAGGAGTAGAGAGAGAGACATCTAGGGGAAGTTGCCTTTTTGCACAGAAAGCCCTCTCCCTGTCTGGGATCGTGCGGAGCAGAATGGCTTCACCCTGAACTAAGGCCTCATTCCGTGCAGGAAGGTAGGCCTTAAGAGATGGCCAAAGAACGCGTTAATGGAGATGCGCATGTTCAGGGAATCCTCTTGACACGCTCAGTAGGCCCCGAGGCCTTGCTGGCAGGTCGTTCCGGACTTCATTGGGGAATAATCTCACCGTAATAAGCATAACCGCAAGAAAATTCAGTCGCACCTTAAAATCCGAGCATTTTATGGATTAGGTTTCTATCACCGTAATGATTAGCAAAAACAATTACCTCACTAATTGCTGCTGCTGGGCAGCTAATTGAATCAGTGCCAATTGAAACTTCAAAGAAGATAAAGAGAACAAAGTGGGAAAATCTTAGAAATCCGCATCTTCAAGTGTCATTTTCCTTGCGGTTGTCCAAAAATATATATCACGAGAGCCAAGAATTTTGCAGATTAATGTTGTTTGGATATCTGACGAGACATTTATTCGCTGCTTCTTTGGTAGGAAGATCAATCCTCAGGTCAGTGAACACGTAGTCTACCGAGTTTTCGCTCATAGAAACTCAGTTTGCAGACTGTTCAAACTGAAGGAGTCCTTCTGAGCTCTTGAGGGAGCACAAGTGAAAAAGGTGGCAGGAGGTTTGCCTCACTTTTCACTTGAGCCCTTCTATAAGGGCTTCACAAACTTGGAAGGACCCTTTCAGGCTGATCAATGTGCAGACTGAGTTTTTATGAGCGAAATGACTGTTTGATTTTCTAGAAACTACTACAGAGAACTAACCTTTTTACTTCCAGATCGAAGTCCTTTTTCTAGGTTTTACAACTTTCTATCTATATTACAGTATGAAAAGCTGAAGAACCTGGCATTCACAACGGGAGGGCTCTTCGTTCCACAGAAATACGCTCCTGTTGACGACCCTCAGGTAATTCCGTTCCTCCTTTTCCTCTTCCTTTACTTAGGGAAAAAGAAAAAAGAAATATCTTACGCCTACCATCGAAAGTTCCTTTCTTCTTGAGCTCATTTCGAACTTTAACTATCTTTTTTGGACTTTGACTTCTCTTTTTGAACTTTAACTTCTCTTTTCTCGTCTTGATCACATATAAAATTAATATTTCTTAGACAATTGATATGTCCTTTTTGCAGTTCACCGACGTAGTAATCTCTTCGCATTATCAGTATCAGCCTTTGGCATT